AAGTTTCATTTAGTTGTTGTTTATCTTCTTTTATTTAATTTTTCTATCTATAAATTCATTTCATATTATCTAACAAAAATAATCTTAATGATTTCATTTAATTAATTTTGCATACAATAAATTAAAAAACAAAGATATTATCATAAATCAAATTATTTTATTTTTATTAATATCATTTTACAAACCAATTTATTAATTTTTAAAAAATTTAATATTTTATTTTCATTAAATATAATTTTATTATTTAATTTATTAGTAACTTTTATATTAATATATATATTAATTAAATATTATTAAAATAAATAAAAACATGTTGAGATAAATATTATTAGTTAGGTAAATAAATATTAAAATGGGTGATTGAGATAAATAAAAAAAATAATTCAAAATAAAATTATCATATTAATATTCATATTCATAAATCATATTAAAATGACTTTGGAGAGCGGTTCAAATTGGACCGGTCTCCAAAGTCGACTTTGGAGAGCGGTTAATACGAACCAGTCTCCAAAGTCCACTTTGCAGAGCGGTTAAATAAGAACCGCTCTCCAAAGTCGACTTCTAAGAGCGGTTCGTATTTAACCGCTCTCAGAAGTCGCCTTTCTTGCCGCTGGGAAGCTACTGTACGGACACAAATTTGAAGACCAGAATTCGGCTTTTGGGAAGTCAAATTCTGTACGTAAACAGTAAATCGGTCTACTTTGGTAAATATTTTTGGGACAGGTCTATTTCAGTATTTTTATTTTTTTTATATATTATTTTGGTTAAAAAGTCGAAAAGGTAAGCACTCCATTTTATAAGGCTTTACTTTAAAAAATAAAAATATTCACATTTCATTATTTAATTTGTGAACTTATTATTAAGCCTATAGAAAATTCTGTCAAAGTTTCATTAAAATGAAAAAAATATATTATGAACACCTTATTTATTTATGCAAAAACTGAATTGTATACAAAAAGATAAGTTGAATTATATTTTTCATTTATTAAGTTAAAGTAAGTTTCGATTTAGTTGTGAAAATTTGATTTTATCCAATTTAATCTTTTAAGTTTAATTTTAATATTTTGAATTTTATTTAATTAATTTTTTGTTTCTATTTTTTTCATGCTAATTTTTTTCTAACTTTGCTTTATAATTTAATTGATATTAATTTAGAAAATATTTTAGCATTCAGTATAGATATGGGTTTACAAGGAAAATAATTAATAATTATTATTATCAATGTATGACATTTGATCCATATGTTGACATTAATTATTAAGTGTTTACAATAAAGGAAAAAAGTAAAAATTAGTCTTAGTTAGTTATAAATGATTTGAGAGTAATTAAAGTTTTTAGCAGTAATTTCTAAGTTTTAGATGAATGTTTAATAATAAAATACGTGAAAAATGTAAAATAAACAAAAAATTGTTATTTTAAAAACTTTGGTTAAGGTAAAAGCTGGAACAAAGTTAAATACTTATTTTATCTAAAAAATAACAGAACATTAAGTTGAATAAAAAAATTAAGAGACTAAAGTGAAACTTAAACTAAATTTAAATAGATAAATCAAATAAAAAAATTAGATGTTTAAGTTTAAATTCACTTGAATATAGAGAACGGAAATTATATAATTTTATCTAAAAGATATTGATAACACACTCTTATTTACTTCTCTAATACTTTTATTTTTTATTATAAACTAAAATCTCCTTAAGTTTGATTGAATCTACATTTTTATTTAATAACAAAGAATGGGTGAGAGCCTGTTATTTTAAAATTCTACTGTATTGAGAATAATCTTCCTTAACTAACAAAAATAAAATAAATAAATATATATATATATATATATATATATGTGTGTGTATAATAATAATACTGTATTGATAAAAAAATATTTTAAATTTTTAACCAATATCTTTATCATTTACAATAAACTAAAGTCAGCGTTTGTCATCTGGGACATGCGTTGGATTTAGAATTTTGGTCAAGCATTATCTTTTGCTAAGTTTAAGGACAATGTGAGTCATCCATAATATGATACAATTTTTCTTTCTGGGATAGTCTTACATGAATTTAGATTAAACCCTCACACGTAACCACATTCCTAATATCATCGAACGTGACCTGTAGAGCTGTGAATAATGTAAAAATCTTTTTTTTTCCTCAGGTACCGACCTAACTAGACACTCCAACCAATAGAAGAAAATTCACAACAATTTGCAGTGAATATTTTTACAATAACAAGAAGCATAAACGTTAAGATCAGTTAAAGAAAATGGTTTCTATATGGTACAAATTAATTTTTCAAAATTTTTATACAACATTGTTAGAACATTTAAAAGAAAATCTTTTGTAAAAGCATTACTTGTTATACAAATTTAAAATACATATTTTAATTAAAAACTAACGTTTCCTTAAAGGAACAAACATGCTTTACGTATGTAGACGAAACATGATATGATCATTAGATGTAACAAAATCACAATTAACATATTAATTATGATATAAATAGTAAAAAAAAAATTAATTTTAACCACTTAAACTTCTATATGAAGAACCATCTCATTCCTTTTATACATAAATTGATGGAAAAGGCTTGGGTTTGGTGGATCATATTAAGATTTCCCATTGGTTATTGGATTCAACAAGTAAAAGTCATCTTTTTGGCGAATCTGAACACGTTGGTTAGCACTAAGCACTTAAATAATTTTATGAGTTGGATGAAATTTTCAATTTACATATGCCCCCCTCGTGAAGAGGGATCATTTCACAGGTTACCATTTACCACATGCTTAACACCCAAATCCACTTTATTTATTTTATTTCATCATGTTGGCGGCTAAAACACCAACGTGGGACCACGTTCAACCATCCTATGATACTTTCGAAAAAATTATTAATTTTTTAGGTATATATATATATATATATATTAAAAATAAAAATATTTACTATCATAAACATTAATATAATATATTATTTTTTAACGTGTGCCTCTGAGTATATTAAAAATTAAATTTTTTTCCTGATATATATTACTTAAACTCAAGAGGTTTTATTAAAAAAGTCGCTTTATAAATTTATCTCTATGCATAATGTGGACTAAAACTTTTAACGAAGTATTTTAATTTTAAACGAAAGCATTTTAAGTGTTAATTTTTTTATTATATTATGTGACATTTTGTGTATTGAACATTTAAAATGTTTATTATTAATGATTAAAATATTTTAAAATTTATAAAAAATTATAAAAATATATTTTAATTTTTATTTAAAAATTTGAGAGCTGTATCCTTTATCCATCAGCCCTTGTGAATATGAATCATTTGCGCTCAGAGATACATAAAATAAAATACAAATGATAATTATGGTAAAAAAACAAAAACAAAAATGGTAACGTATCTACGTTCAAAGAGATTACAAGGAATAGCTACATGTGATTGTATTATGCTCTAAAATGAGGTTCGAACTATATAATTGAAAATCCATTAAAAAATAAGTACAAAATATTAAAGTGATATGTTCGTTCATCTCGCAAATGATTTTAAAAGAAACTGATAAAAGAAAACGATATGTTGGGAGAAATAACTTTATCACGTGTTAAATTTTTTTCTTAAAGAAAATACTTTTTATTAATTTTAATATTAAAAAGAATACCATCGAAAATTTAATTAAAACAAATGTAGGAAGTGAGTCAGGAGTTGGATGCGATTCTATTAAATTAGCACGTGGAGGTTCAGAAAGCAGTGTTGCGAAGCCAAGTTGGGTGCTTTTACTTCTTTAATTATATCAGTCTTTATTCATAGGCTGCTTATGACAGTATTAAGGTTTCGTGTAACAAGGTGTAGAATAAATGATTTATTAATGGATCTAAATTTACATATAAGAAATTATTCCCATAAATTTTTTAAAAGTACGTTTTAAGATAAGTATTTTAATACTCACATCCTATATATCTACTTAATGTTAAATATTTATCAAATTTAAAATAAAATAAAATAATTTCACTCATAATATTTATAAATTATGTTTATAACTTAAAAATTGTATATTATGGTTGAGGTTTGTGTTGTCGTGACATTGTTTTACCTTCTATTATCTTTGTCTTTAAAGAGTAATTAATCGTCCATCTTTCAAACCATCTTTGTCTACAAATTTATGAATTATTTATAACCTTGTTACGTTAAATTTAAATTTTGAAAAACTATTCTATTTGTTGTATTCAAGCATTAAACGCATATTATGTCTTGAAATTAATTTTTTTATTATATTATATTTAGATTTAGTTAAATATAGTGCTATTATATTTTTATAATTAAGCCTTTTATTTAACTACATAGATATTAGTCTAACTATAATTATTTAGATATTAAATTATTTTTAAAATTAACTGTTAAATTAAAATTTTTAATCACATTAATTATATTTACAAATTTTTAAATTAATTTAAAATCATTTAATGTTTTATTTATACGCATCAAATTTAAGGAGTATAGGTGTTTAAAATATATAACATTAAAGACTTTTTTATTGGAATCTTGTACTTGTTTAACTTTATAAAAAAGAAATAAATAATGCATGTAAAATATAATTATAATATAATTTTTATATTAAGTTATCGCTGACGTATAAGAGATCGTAACTTGTAATTTGATCAACCCCTGACAACATTATAGAATAAATATTAAAAGAGTAAGAGAATATAAAAAGGTTGAAAGTAAATTATGGTTCTAAATGATTTAGGGGGATCTTGAGATAATGAAACATAGGGGAAGATTTTCATCATGGAGACAAGGGAAAGAGTCTCAAAAAGTTTGCGAGCACTTCCATTCGGAAAACAACATTTCGTGTCTGGACTCACTACTTACCATACACGGGATGCTTGGGTTTAAGGAAATAAAAAATTGTTCTTGCAAATTTCACAAGCTTGTACCTCAATTTTAACAAATTCGTGAAAAAATAATAAAAATTATTATATAATATTTGGTGATATAATAATAGAAGCGTGCACAGTGCATGGACGGAGCACCGCCGGAAAGGGAAGCAATTAATGCACAAAATTCACGATTCGTCCAAGTCCTAGTAGTCTCCATTTTTCGGGTCAATAAAAAGACCGCGCTCTTCAATGGTCAGCACCCACATATTCTGCCATTCAATTTCTCTCTATAAATAACAACACTCCTTCCCCTCATTGCATCATCAAAGTACCCACTCACCAACCAGCAGCACGAAAGAGCCAAGAAATACCCACTTCTCTTGATCTCTCTAATTCTTTCTAATTTCTCCAACAAAGCAGAAAACTCACCAAATCTTCATTCGCTCTAAAAATGGCATCTTCCACGCTGTCCTCTCCAATCTTTCGTCTAGAATTTCCCTCTACCAGAAAACCCTCTCCATCACTCTCCCTTCCCCCAGTCAGAGCCTCCGTCTCCGAAAAACCCTCCCTCTCCGTACCGGCAGTGTCGGTGACAGCGCCGGAGCCCAGCAAGCTGCCGATCCGCAAAATCCCCGGTGATTGCGGGTTTCCGGTCATCGGTCCTTTCATGGACCGTCAAGACTATTTCTACAAGCAAGGCCGCGACGAGTACTTCAAATCCCGAATCCAGAAGTACCACTCGACGGTGTTCCGCACCAACATGCCACCTGGACCCTTCATTGCTCTAAACCCAAACGTCGTCGTTTTGCTGGACGGCAAGAGCTTCCCCGTTCTCTTCGACGTGACCAAGGTTGAAAAGAAAGACGTCTTCACCGGAACCTTCATGCCTTCCACCGAACTAACCGGTGGCTACAGGGTCCTCTCCTACCTCGACCCTTCAGAACCCAAACACGCGCTTCTCAAGCGTTTGATGTTCTTCCTCCTCAAGTCCCGTCGCGACCACGTGATTCCCGAGTTCCACGCCAGCTACACCCAACTCTTCCAAACCCTTGAGAACGACCTCGCCGCCAAGGGCAAAGCCAGCTTCGGCGACGCCAACGACCAAGCCGCGTTTAACTTCCTGGCTCGCTCTCTCTTCGGCTCAAACCCCACCGACTCCAAGCTCGGCCTCGACGGCCCAAAACTGGTTCAGAAATGGGTTCTGTTTCAACTCGGCCCAATTCTCCGATTGGGATTCCCCCAGTTCATCGAGGAGTCCACGATCCGCTTGTTCCGTCTCCCTTCGGCTCTCATAAAAAAAGACTACCAGCGCCTCTACGAATTCTTCTACGAGTCTTCGGGCTTCGTCCTCGACGAAGCCGAGCGATTAGGTGTTTCGCGTGACGAGGCTTGCCACAACCTCTTATTCGCCACGTGCTTTAATTCCTTCGGGGGAATGAAGATCTTTTTCCCCAACGTGATTAAATGGATCGGGCGCGCCGGAGTAAAGCTCCACGCGCAGCTCGCGAGTGAGATCAGGTCCGCGGTGAGAGCCGCCGGTGGTGAGGTCACCATGGCGGCGATGGAGCAGATGCCGCTGATGAAGTCGGTGGTGTACGAAGCGTTCAGGATCGACCCTCCGGTGCCGTTGCAGTTCGGGAGGGCAAAGAGGGACATGGTTATTGAGAGCCACGAACACGCGTTTCAGGTGAAAGAAGGGGAAATGCTGTTTGGGTACCAACCTTTTGCAACGAAGGATCCTAAGATCTTCGAGAGGGCCGAGGAATTTGTCGGGGACAGGTTCGTGGGCGAGGAAGGGGAGAAGCTCCTGAAGCATGTGCTGTGGTCGAATGGGCCTGAAACTGAGTCTCCAACAGTAGGGAACAAGCAATGCGCTGGGAAGGATTTTGTTATGTTGGTTTCTCGGCTTCTCATTGTGGAACTGTTTCTGCGTTACGATTCGTTTGAGATTCAAGTGGGATCTTCGCCCTTGGGTTCTAACGTTACCCTCACCTCGCTAAAGAGATCAAGCTTTTAGTTTTTTTTTTTTTTTTTTTTGGATCAGTTAGGACAGTTATATATATTATTGTTTATACTATTACCTGTGATTTTGGGAGCTGGACTTTAATTAGTGTGGTCTAGGAGGTAGCTTTTTGGTGGGGGCATCATGCACTCCACTGAAGTAGTGGAAGCTACTTGGAGTCTAGGATGCAATGCTGGTGTTGCTACCATTCATAATGTGCTCTCCCTCATTCAACAGTGATGAAGATAATGTTGGGTGGGGCTCTCCCTGCCCTGTGTTGATGGGACTTTGAACAAATTGTATTATACGGAATTATTTTCTAAAATATCTTTTGTGGAATAGCATGCTATTATTATACTTGCTTTTTCTCCTTTGCCACATGGTCTATTAGTGTTATTGAAAAAAAATAATTGAGATAACATATTTAATTCCTTTTTTTTTTTAAATTAGAATGCTATTTTAGAAATGGTAAAAGAAATCTTGCCAAAGATAAATTTTAATTCAATTATATACTTTATTCAAATGATAAAGATGTGGTGACCCGTAAAATACAGGTAGAGAAGTTATATGTTACTCAACGCTCAATTAAATATTATAGTTTCTCTAATAGTTAGACTCAAAAAATAACTAATGGTAGATTGTACTTATTTTTCTTATAGGTGGTATGGACTACAATAACATCTCTAAAACCTTCATAGTCAAGTAGTTTAGACAATCTTACCAACATAAATGTTGAAACTTTTCATCATTTATAATAGGTAAACTTACAAAACAACGTATAACTATTATTTACTTTTACTTGCAAAACAAAGTAGTGTCATTATTTTTCAGGCAGTAAGTGAACATAATATATATGAAGTAACTAATGGTTGTGAGATTTTTCAGAAGCCATAATCTTTCACATTTAAATCTTATAATTTAGGTAAACTCAAAACTTAACTTTACAATTAGTTTGAGTCAAATTTGTATTCTTTAACTCAATTCACACTCTTTAAGTGTTTTTTAATTTGTTAGGCCCATTTTATTATAAATTAACTGTCGCATAATAATATTGCCTCTAGAATCACCAACATTATCATCTTTTTAGTAAAACAATCTATGATATTTTGCATAATTTCAATAAAGTTACATGCTTTAAACTCATATACAAATTGAAGATTAAATATATCTTCAGTTGTAACTTGTTTAGTTTTTTTTGTAAACTTTATCTTCAATGTCATTGCTTATACAATTATCAACTAAAATAACATCTTTTTTTTCAATGTTCTTACTAATATTATTGTTAGTAAAAGTTAAATTAAAATTTGTTTTATCATCCAAATTAATATAATTTTCATCATTATTTTTTATTTTTAATAATATACAAAGATATTAGTCACGATAGTATAACATATTATATTTCAAATCAAAACAAATAAATTCTGATTAATAATAAAACAAATAAACTTTAAGGTGAGTGAGAAAATATATCAATGTATTTCTAGAAAATTGGACAAGTACAAATTAGAAACATAGAAAGGTCATAAAGCAAAGTGTAAAAGTGTAATAATATTACTTTAAAATATGATACAAATACGATCGATGTATAACTGTATGCAACTCACTAACTCTACTACTTTAGCACAAAACTTGCATTTTAAAACTAACTTTCATAATCTACACTCAAATAAATGAGCAATCTTTATTGATTGAATTATCAAGTTAAGAAAATGTAGAAGACAATGTTTTAAGATTCAATTCCACCATGGGACAATTTTCTTGCAGAAGAGTAGTAGCAAGATCTTGAAAATTTTGTGCTTGCTAATTGAAGCTTTTTTTTTTTTTTTTCTTAAGAGTAAGATATATTGAATGAATCTTTTTTATGTAACCTATTTGTCTTTGTAGAATAATCAATCTCCTAATTAGTTGAAGTAATTTTAAATTAATAATTTGCTATAAAATAGTTTGTTGCTCTTAAGCATAGGTTGAACTCTAATCAAGTTTTGTCTCAAATAGCATTGAAAAGATTCCGAAAATAATAGTATAACATATTACATTATATTACTCACAAAAATATATTGATCACAATAATATAACATATTACATTACTTATCACGTGTGTCATTCAACTCCCTGATTCTTTATTTAGGAGTAATGTATTTGGTGTTTTTACGCTTGCTATTCATTTTAGGTTCTAATTTTAGAATATATAAAACTCTCTTAACCCTTTAATGTAGAATAAATTCTACATTATGATTGATAATAATAAGCTAAAAGAGTATGAGTGACTCAAATATTTTGTATGTTTTATATTTGTCAACAATTAATTTAGACATTACTCTTGCAAGGAAAACTATGCTCTGAAAGGAGGTTTTCCACCCTTTTTGTTAAAATTAGCATGCACATACCAACGTAATTCCATGTTACAGTGTGAATAAAATTTTCTTTTATAATATCTTATGAAATGCTTAATAGAAAGAAAATAACTTGGACTACCCTAAAGAATGTTGATAATTTCTAATTTTGCTTGTGATATATGCAAGTTTTAAGAAAAGTTCAGTAATCTTAATCTCCAGAATAGATTCATGTATTTATTTTATTGATAATAAACATATTAAAATTAAGAATGATAACATAAATTCATATCAATCTTATCTTGATTCTTAGAATAGATTATGAATTAATCAACGATTAAAATAGAAAAATATCTTTAAAAAAGTTATAGTGGGAAGAAAATAAAACTGATTGGAGAAAAGAAAACTTTTTGGCACATTAACAACTATGGTGAATGGAGATGAAGTAGGTGAAGGTGAAAATATAGTTTATAATTTTAAATTTGATTTGAGATTTGAGGAGGAAAAGTTAATGAATAATATTAATTTTTAAATGTTAAATTAAAAAATTATTTAATAATAATTATTCAATTTTTAAAGAATTAATGAGTAATTTTTTTTAATTCTTTAAATATAAAATTAAATTTAATACACTTGCGGAGGATATTAAACACCCCTTCAATAGGTTGGTAGATTTTACCTTTGAGAAATTAATTAAATTTGTACTTTTTTTTATAGGTAAAACATATATTATTAGAGATAGTTCAAGGGAAACTCAAAACTCATATACACAGAAAAAAATTACTAACTCAGAGAAATAAAAAGTAAAAATATACTTATACAAAGTTAAGACGGATGTAATTTCGTGGGTTCAAATACCAATCAGCTAATAAAATAGCTTCTCCCTTACTAATAAGTAATAGCCATTTCCAGGACCTCATAATAATAGAATCTAGAATTTCCCTCTAATCCAAAATACCATTGAAAAATACAATTTTATTTATATGTAACCACAAAGATCACACTATACTTAGCCAAACAATTAATAAACATATCCTTCTCTTTTACTACAGCCAACACCAATCCAAGAAAGCAAGTGAGTCGATATATCTGAAGGCAAAACCAGTGAGAATCCAAGCCAACGCGCAGTAAAGTACCTGATTTGAGATGAAACTGAACACATTAAAAATAAATAAGTTGGAAGTTCCTCCAAATTATGATAGAAGTAACAAGTTATATCATCAATTTGAACACCTCGATAAATCAGCAAACCCTTACAAGGAAGTGCATTCAGCAAGAATTGCCAAGAAAATACCAGACACTTAAGAGGGACCTTTCCTCTCCATAGCCTTTGCAAAACATCTGCCGTACACTGATTTACACTATTAGGACCACCAAAAAGTTCAAATAGCCATGAATACGCAGATTGTACTGAATGAAAAATCTGTCCTCCATATCCATTTATCTTCTTGTAGTAACTTAATAGAAACTCCATCCACAAACTCTAACAAAAGATTAAAGCTTAAGATCTCTTGAAAGAGTCCTTTTTGCCAACTAACATCCCAAACCCACTTAGTGTCATCATGAAAACCATTCTCCAATACACATGATTCAACATTCCTCGCCACCACAAACAATCGCAAAAATACTTCACACAATCGCACCCCACCTACTCACTTATCTCTCCAAAAAATTTGTACTTAATGGTCAGTTTTTATTATAGCCGCCTTTATAGGTTGCAATTGATTAAGGAAACTCGTTTATGAATAGGATCTGTAACTTTCTTTTGTGAATTGATTTGTTTTAGGAATAGATATTAGAAATTGGTATGGTTTGCTAATAATCAATTTGAGCTTTGGATTTCCTTCTTTCAAATTGGTTGGCTAAGTGATCCGTGACTCAATTTTATTCAAAGAGTGTTAATACTTAAAGGAATTAATATTGACTAATTTAGAGGATTTACCCATCAAATCTGAGGAATATAATCAAAGAGAAAGATGATATACATAGAGGAATTGACGAAGTCAAAATTTTGGAACTTGTACTTAAGGTCGGAAAAATTCCCTAATTTCTATAATGATTTAGTTTTGTCTTTAATTTAGCATTTAGCATAACTTTTGCATTCTTTTACCTTAACAGTGAAGCTACCTTTATTCTAAATTCAATTTGTCTAAATATTTCAACGTAGTGGAATAATGCTTGGAATCTTTTAATCGTACTGGGAATAACATATGTTTACTTACTCTATATTACTTGTATAAATCGATATACCTACTTAACAAATATTATGCAAAGCGAAGAAAATGCAACCCGTTTCGCGATGAAATAATAAATAAATAAATATAAAATTTAAAGAAAAATATAATAGTTTATGAGCATAATAAAATTTCATCTTATTTTATCTTTTTTTTCCCTATATCTTATTTTTACCTTTAATGTATACTAAAATAACACATTAGACAAGTTGTATTATCTTATTTATTTTTAATTCAGGTACTCACATAATAAAATATACATTAAAAAGAATGATAAGGCAAGACTATAAAATCGACTTATAATATTTTATATTAGTTAATAAATATTAGAAATAAGATACGATAGGAAAAGATATCCTATATTATTCTCTTATCTTATCCATTACCCAAGTTCTTAATATTTTAAAAGTTGACATTGAATTGGAAAAAAAATAATTCAAACATTACATACAGAAGTTAATAAGGTAAATAATTTAATATTTTATTCATAGTATATATACGTGAGGGTCTCGTGTATCAGTCCTTGTAACTTGAAATTGGATTTATATAAGTACTTAAGAATTAAAAGAAAAAAGAAGAAGAAAGTGCAAACCATCAAGCCACGGTCAACAAGTGAAAGGTACTTAAATCCCTTGAGCTTACAATCTTGGATTTAATCACAGAATTTATGTTTATGAAAAAGAACGTCATTGAAGAGGGTCTCGCTTTTGTAGTTGAACATACGTTGAAACATTATTCTATTAAGTGAAAGAATACTTTGAAAAACTGAAAAATTACGTGGCGATAAA